CCCCAAAACCCCAAAACCCCAAAACCCCAAAACCCCGAGATCTAGGAAACAATTGAAGTTTATAGAGCAAGCCTTTACAGAGTCTGTCGGTTTCGAGACTCTCAAAGCTGTTGAACCCTCATCCGATCTTTAAACTTCATTCTAGAGTTTGGAGATATCTTCAAGACTTTCTTTGTTTGAGTGAGTTTTCGAGGATCAAGAATTTTCTTCACCCAAGTTGCATGGACAGGGTCAAAGGAATTTCTGATATAAATATCAAGATGCTTCTTTTCCTCAAATCTTTCCTTCAAAGTCCTACTCAGGACTCTCTGGTTCGCCCTGAAGACAGCAGAATCGATCGTCTCCTGCTCTTCTGGAGATGGTGATGCAGACTTGTACTCCTGTATCTTCTTTCTAAGTATAGATTTTCCTCTATTTGAGACCTGCATGTCTTTGACAAGTCTCATTATAGCTTTATTTAGATTTAATATGCCTAAATTGATCAAATAGATATCTGACTTAGTGAATTTATAAGGCTCATCAGCATACCTAAGTAGCTTGGTGAACTTCCTGATGTTCTGCAACTTCTGAGGCACTGTTCGAGCTAGATTTGTTAGTATGACAGCATACTTGTGAGAGCTAAACTGTTAGAGCTGGTTAAAAATTTGCTTACAATTGTCCTTATGGGTTTGAAAATGATGGTTTTCCTCAATACCTTCATACAGATTGTGGTCAAACAGAGAATCAATGATTTTGATGTTGTCGTCAGTTGCTTTACCTCTCTTCTTCAAGTATTTATTTGAGCTTGTCTTTGCTTCATGCTGATTGGTGGTAAAGTCTGATTCCAGAATAGTTCTCCTTTTTGAATTCGGTTAGAGAAGATTCATTATTAATTGTCTATGCAGGTCAGGATTTCCAAAGAAAATTTACCCAAATTAGTAAGGAATCAATGTTAATTGGTGAACTAATAGCTGATTCTAGCAATTCATTATCACTAAAAATGTTGGTGTTGTCTACTGAGCGGTTCATTTTCTCCCTTGCTCTAATATATCTTTCGAATGGTTCTATAAATGATTACTACGTTCATACTTGATTGTTCAAAGCCAAGGTCTTGAACCTTCTTACAAGCGAGTAAAGCATCAATCGACAGGAATCCTGTAATTTGATATCCAAGTCTGTTAAACATTTTCCTAGAATAGATGTTTAAACAAGGTACCTAATATGATAATGGTTGATGCCTTCTCCTGATACTTTCTCAAGATCAAAACCAATCTTTTTAAAATTGTACTGAAATATATCCTTTGTTATCTTGTTGTAATGTATATCTGGGCGAAATGCTTCTTCTACCTTCCGCTTGTACTCATGCTTCTTTGCCGATGACTTTGACCTAACAGTCACATCGATATGCCTTCTTTCCTCAATAATACTATTTATTATTAGGAGAGTCTGCTGGAGTTTGCTTGCTTAGTCTTTTTGTAGGAGATCCAATGTCAAATAATTTCTTTCCTTTCTTTAACCCTGTGGAGGGCAGGTAATTGGTAATACCACTCATCTGCCTGCTGCTGATGTTCAGGTCTGAATTCACACTAGAGATTTCTTGAAGATTGGTAAGTTTTGATTGCTTCTTTTCCCTAAGTTGGGTCTGAAGATCGTCTATATGTAACCAATGACATGTACTAAGTTGACCCTCTCGCTTTGTGTAGGATTTCTTTCCAAATGTGTGAATATGTGGGAGTTTTCTTGTAATTCCTGATGCTTTAAAGGCTACCTTGCCCTTGCTAGTGACTCTATAGTGGAAGTTTAATAATTTTTGGAGTGATAAGATGAAGAGCTTCCTAAAGAGGATCAGAAGGTTGCTTAACCTCTTAATGAGGAGCAAATTTTTAGATTATGTATGAAAATAGCCGTTTTATTCCTAATGAATAAGAATAAACTTCATTATCAGGATAAACAAAGCAAAAAGTTCTGAAAGCAACAAATTTAGCATACGAAATTATTCTTTTCCGATTTTAAGGATTCTATCGCTTGAGAATTATTATATCACTCCTTGAAGGGTGAGATAATGCTAGTTAAGACAACTTATGTACTCATCCAAAAATTTATAAATAAAACTGATATCATAAGATTATAAAAAGTCAGTTAAATTCGGCTAGATGATAATCCGAATCAATAAATGTATATAAATCTATAAATTCTTTATAAAAATATCTGTAAATGAAATATAAGCTATTAAAATGACATAAAGCATACTCCATGATTAACCAATTCAATAATATAAGTAATCAAGGGGTTTTGGGGTTTTGGGGTTTTGGGGTTTTGGGG